TTGATGAGGAGATAGAGCTAGTTCACACCTAGAAAGTGAACTCTGTAGTCCAGTACCGCTCAGTGCCACTGTGCACCCCCAAATATGAGCAAGAACCCCTTGTGTTAGGTGCTGTACAGCCACAGAAGTAAAAAAATGGGACCCTACTCCAAGGAGGTTGCAAGTTAGGAGAAAACATCATCTGGTGGACAGCAGGGCCCCAGTGCTGTCATCTGTGCGTGTCAGCACCAGGTTACATAGAAGGAGGGGGTCCTAAGGGAAAGAATGTGGGGGGACTGCCATGTCCCTTTCATGGAAGGAAGAAAATCTTAATAGCACTCTTCATGAAGACAGACCATTGTAGATATGGCCTAGAGTATTGTCTGAAGTGCTTGCAGGCCCACAAACGTGGTTTGAGTCCTTACCTATTTCTGTTACGTTGTCCTCTGATTAAATCACCTGATGGTTGGGTGTTGTATTTGGTAGCTGTTTTGGGATGCACACCTGATTGGTGTGATTGATGTTGCAGCATGGGAAGCTGGTCATGCCAGCTCACAGTATTGTAACTCGTGTTTGGGGCAGACTCCTCTGTGTAGGTTTTAGAGACTCAGCTTTACGTGAAACTTAAACGCTGTTGTTCTGTGGCAGCTGGTCGCATCTGAGAAGTTCCTCAAATGCTTCCTATCCCATCCCCTGCAGATGATTGCTTCTTCGTCTCAGCCTTTTTGTGGCCCTCATTGGACTAGTGTTCTGGACATGACAAAAAAGCCTATAAAAAAGCAAAAGCATCTTCATGTATTTATCTGGTGTGAAGAGTGCTCGGGCAAGTATTTGAACTGACACAACCAAAAGAGTGGTTAAAAACTGTAGGAGTGTGGAAGTGGCAGAAAGAAGCAGGTCGTTCCTCTGTGAGATAATGACCGTGTGCGTGGACCATGCAGTGGTTTGGCAGGAGACTTGTGAACAAATTCCAGCTCTGTTCTCCAAACAGTGTCTTCCCTCAACTGGGGCCATCCGTTGAATTACAAGCAGCATTCAGATAGACTTTCCCAAGGCAGTTCCCATTCCAGTGCCACTCCATTGGGACAGCCAAACTGTGACTCCCCCCAGGAGACACTCCTTTCTGTCTCTTCTTTGGGGTGCCAATAGGATGTTCTGTAGCATGCTTGCTTGCAGCCTCTTCACGGTATTTGAAGATAAAGCAGTTGTCCTGCTAGCTGGGGGGTTTGCCCTTCTCCACAGTTTCATTTCTTTTCTTCTCATGGGGCAACAGAAAGTGAGCAGTGTCAGTGCTGCAGGCTGTAAGGAGGAATGGCTACAGGGACAACAGCCCTGACTAAGATAGTGCAGGACCAGGGGAGGACCGTAAGCTTTATACAGCCATTTCTGGTGCACGTTTCTGAAACTTTGGGGAAGTCCGTGATCCAGGCAGTAAGGCCAAAGCCTTCTCTTTGCGGAGAGGCCACTTCTAGAGCATCGTTGTCTCTGGAGGAAGCATTTGCCAGGTCATACGTTTGGCAGTATTCGCATAGACCCAGGGCCCTATTACCCATAGAAGAGACAAACACAGCCTGGGGTCATCTTCAGTATGGTGATGTGGGTGCTTGCACCACAGCCACCCGAACCTCTGTGTGTACATAATCCCACAGGTGTAGTGGTGGGCTCTGCCTGGGGAAGCACTAGGGTGGGAGCTGTGCGTCTCCATTTACAGCAGAGCCGGGGGAGGGTGGTTTGTCCTTTGCTGTTCTGGGAAATTCACTTAATAAATTTAAATTCAGCTCACTGTTGCGGTCTGGAGAAAGAAAGGCTAACAAGTTTTTTTTTTTTGAGCTGGCTTTTGCACTGTGTGCTTAGAGCCGTGTGCTGTCCTTAACCTGTGTGGACCCTGGACCCTTGTTTGCAGTGTCAGTTTGTTTGTGGAAGAGCATGTGGGCACAGGAGGGGTCTTGGCGTAAGAGGGAAGGCTTTTGGAGGAACAGCCGTGTACAATTGCAAATTTATGTTTGAAGACTTAAAGAGTGTTTTCATACAGCTAATAAAAATGTTAACTTATCAGTATGAACTTTTATCTTTGTGAAGACCTAAAGTCCATAATAGAATTTTGCCAGCTCTCTCACTGAATGGCTGCCAGCTTCAAAAATTATTTTGTATTTGTAAGTCTGCAGAGATTAAACAAGGATTACTTTTTTCACTTAATTTTCTCTCCAACCTTTGTACCTGCAGCTTTTGTGGTAACTAGAGAGCAGTGGTATGTAACGCTAGGTGGCTGTCTAACAAGTGATTTCTTGATTCAAGGCTCCTGAAGTAAATGAGCACTGGCAGCACCACTTTGTGTGTTTGTGTGTCTTATCTTTCTTCTGTAGCTGAAGGGGAAGTGAGCTAGTGCTTAATTACAGAAAATGACAGCAATGTAAGTTGTGAACAGTCATGGCTGCTGGGGGTGAAAGCATGCCACAGCCCTGCTTCACAGAGGGCAGAGGAAAACTAGACCCTTGGGTGGCCTTAGTTTTCCTCCGTGGAGAAGACTGGGTTAAAAGTAAAACCCAGACCTGAGACCCTTTCCAGTTGACTGTCCGTTATGAGGGCTTTACTGCATCATAAATGATGATACCTTTGTTTGCATTTCTTTTTGTTTGCAGGCCACAAACCAGTGCTGTGCTTTCCTTACCGGGCACCGGAGGCTGTTTTCAGTAATAGCTCCCTCAAAGAGCTGGCCTGCAGCACCCGCTCACAGGCCACACAGTCTCTTTCTGATGCTCCTCAAGACTGTTGTGGTGGTGTTACGGGCTGCTGAGCTGAGGCCCTGTTGCGTCTGCAGCTGTATGTTTGGTGCCTTCTCTCGCTGGAGTGTAAGGAGAGGCAGTTGGTGATTTTGCCACCCAGCAGATGGGTTTATGTCGCTTCAGCGTGAAGAATTGTTAGGACAAGGCTGATGGGTTCAGAAGACAGTGTCGTAGCAAGCCAGTCTTTATGTCAAGTCTTTTACAGAGGTGATAGCTAAAGGAAGCCTAGGAACTACTGTTTCTTAAGTAAAATTGAAAACAACCTCTTTTACCAAAGCTTATTAAGAGACTTTGGACAGCTTGGCCAGATGCAAGCACCTATAAATACTCTGAAGCCACTCCTCAGGTGCAGCAGAGCTCAGACCATGTGATTCAGGATGCAGCAGGAGAGAGATGAATGATTTGGGACAGAGGGAGGCTTTGTGATTCCCCCGAGATGGGAGCTGGAACAGCCTCAGGGCTGCTTCTGGCTGGACCAGCTGCAACCATCCTCTGGGATGAGTGCTGCTGGGTTGCAGCAGAGCTGTGTGCCGCTCCCATTTCTCTTTCTTCTTGCCTCTGGCATTTCTGATTTGGAGGTTATAGTTTCAGGGCAAAGTTGGCTTCACTGGCTATCTGTCATCCTGGAATTTCCCTCTATGGCAGGAATCGCAGCCTCCCAGCTGGCATCAGCTACTCAGTCTGCCCCTGTACCCTGGCTGTTCCCACTTTTCATAAACTGGCACCAACAGCACCTCCTCCAGTCTGGGAAGTTTGGTTCCAGTTGAGAAGTAGCAGACCTCATGGTAGTGACTTGAACGTAGATGAGCACAAGGAGACCATATGTGCTTTAAAACGGTAGGGTGTGTGGAGCAGGGTGGATTTGCTAAGTGTGATGGTAGCACCTTCTCATCTCTTTGAAAATAGTGGGTGGGACACAGGCTGGAGGTCACAGACCTGTCAAGCCTCTGGTGTTCTGTGAGGTTAGCTTACCTGGCTTTTTGCCTCTGAGTGAGTATCTCCTACATGTGCTGGGAAGTGCCACGGCCTCCTTCTGTGAGCCCATCAGATGGGTACGACTGGTCAGTTCTTCTCTCTGAATCCTAACTGCCTCCGGTGAGGAGGCAGAGCAGTGGTGCTGGGGCTGCCCCCAGGCTTTTGGCAGAATTTCAGATTTGAAAGAGCGCATTGGGCCTGGCACCAGGATCTCTTCCTCACCACCTTCCCCGGTGAAGGATCAGGAACATGGGGCCAGACAGTGACTGAGAAAGTAGAGAGGAGTGCAAGGCTGGGGAGGGTGGTGACAGTGGCTTTTGAGCTGCCTATGGCGACTTTTAGTGATGAGTACTCATTATCTCTAAAACATTGCGTAATAAGCTGGGTATGGGTTGACATCTGAGCTAGATTAACTAGTCAATGAATCCTCTCATTCTTCCATTTCAAAGTTTTGTTTTAATAATTGTATCCTTAAACTTGTCCTCACTGAAGAGTTCCCCCGAGATGTGTACCAGAGTTTAGCTCATTTTCCTCACTGCTTCCCCTCTGTCCACCTCCCTTTCTCCTTCCTACTACCTGGAAAAATCTTTGCCTTGTTTGGAAGCTCTCGGACTGGGGGCATTTCTTCGTATGTGTGTTGGCAAGCCCAGAAGCAGGCTGGAGGCAGGAACGTGAGTAGGACTGCAGCCTACCCAGCCTGGCTTAGGCCAAGCAGGCAGGAAATAGAAACACATAGTATTGACCAACTGTAGAAGAGGTGCATCTTTGGGTATCTCCTGTTTGTTTAGCTGTTCTCCAGAGTTCTACCATTGTAGATTCATCGTCGTTTATCAGGACAGCATGTGTGACTGTGGACTGGTGTCTGTGGAAGACAGGTAGATTTGATACGGCATATGTGGAAAGAGGAATTGCTTTTGAGTAAGGAGTTTGAAATCCCAGAAATTTCCATGTCAAATTTTGTGCCTTTTTTTTACCCTTGTATCCTATGAGGCCATTGAGAGGAGGGTGAAGAAGCACAATGTGGACTTTAAGAAAATTTAAAAAAAAAAACCTTTGAATGAAACTTCCAAAGTGTCTTAGTGATTTATGGACATTAATCTTATTTGGAGGTTTCTGGGACTTGTGTTCTCAAGGTATAAGTACGTGTTTGCCAGTCTGCCTATCTGTCATCTTTTCAACTCCTGGCTTATAACTGTATGAGAATTCAGCCCCTTGGTTAACTTCTATCTTGTTTTGGTTTTGTTTTTTTTTTTTTTGCCTCTTCAGACAAGTGAGAGAGAGACTAAAGCAGCAAGTTGCTGAGATGAAAGAAAAATTTCCAGGCTTCAAACCAGGACTCGCAATTTTGCAGGTATTGTTTTACTTTAATGACAAATACAGAAAATCTGTGTTGCTCTGCAATGGTAAGTGCACAGCTGAGGAGTTTCATCAAAGCTGACTTGCAAACGGTAACATTTTATGAGGAACAGAAGAGCAGAGTTCCCTGTGGGATGGTAATACAGTTCTATGATGGCTTTTGACCAAGTACTGGGCCCAGAAACATTTTGGGGGGTTTGGGTTGGGTTGTTTTTTTTCTTTCATCAGGCCTTTGCAGTTCTCTGTTTAAGTGTTGTGTTTGTGAAATGATGAAAGTAGGCTTCCTGCCTATTAAGAGGAAGCAGTGCTTGTAGACTATATTCCAAGTCTCTGCATTTGTGTGAGCCCCTAAGCCTGTCAGCTTTCAGAGATATGTTTGTACCAGAAGTCTTTGAAATGGGGTGTTTATTAAGGGATTTGGTCTGCTGTTATGTCAGAACATGGAGAGACGAGGAGGGGGCGGAGGGGAAAGGCAACCAAAAGCACCTCTGGCCAAGAAGGCTTTGAGTGCAGGGGATGGAACAAAGTCTTACACTTCTGACAGACGTAAAATTCAGCAGTAAGTGCTACAGTCTAAACAGAAATGCTTGCAGAGGTAAAAAGCACTCATTAGTACAGGGTATTTGGCCTGTGTTTGGCAGAATTAAGGTGACGGATTTTTTTTCCCTTGCATCTATAAAAATTGAAACTCTATGCTTAGGTCAGAAGGTGACTAGCTGTAGCAAGCATCCTGTGATAGGAATGAACTGTGTGGCCGCAAAGGATTGATGGACTGAAAGTGGCTGCTTAGAGTAGTGGCTTCTATCCTTATTTAGTATTTTGGGCTCCTGAAGTGCCTGTCTCTGGATTCCAGTGCTAAGACCACTGTAGTATGTGAAGTCCATGCTGCTCTTCAATGCCAGGAACAAATTTGTTTGTGCTTTGTTTTTTTTCTGGTTTTCTTTTCCATTAGCTTTAAGAAGATCTTTTCTACAGAAGACTTGTCTTCAGGTGTTTGGAAGGAAGGAGGAAGGCCTTTTATTTAAAATTTAGTAAGGGGTGCTTTGGTGGAAGTTGCTGAGCTTCTGACCTTGTAAACTTCAAAAACTACTGTCTTGTAGTGTTACTGGAGTTTTTTCTTGGCTGGCCTGTGTTCTCTTCAATCCTGGGTTGTCTCAGAGTTCTTTACAATCTGTTTGCTCTTTGGATCTCTGACATGTTTGTAAGCCAGAAAACAGTCTGGGCTTGGAGTTCATCTAATACTGATGTTCTCAGCTACCTGTTTTTCAGTTACATCAGGACAGTTAGCTGGTTCTGCTAAGTAGCACCCCACACAATATGTGCTTTTTTCTTGAGAGGTATCTGGTGTCCTTCAAGCTCAAAGAGTAAATCAGTTAATCATTATTTTTTGGCCTGTAGTCAGGAATGTTCTCTTTTGCACAATATATATGGTGTGTTTACTGACATCTCCTGGTGCCTGCCCTGTATGAGGCGTACCTTTTCCTAAACCCAGCAGACTTTAAAGAGGAGACAGCCTGTTTCTCTAACCCTAGGGAAGAACAACTAATGAATGCTGGGTGATCAGTAATGCAGTCACCCTTGCAGCTTGTAATCCATGTGAGAATCAGGGATAGCTCCCAAGTACCAGGCAACAGGGTTTCAAGAGTTTGCTTAATCCGCTTTTCCTTATTTGTCCCTCATTTTCTTACAGTTACAAGGAGTATTACGTTTAACAAAACATACTGGATGCTGCAAGCAGTCTTCTGAAATGCAGTTGTACTGTAATAACCCAATACTGCCAAAAGCACAGGCATTTGTTCCACTTGGTGCTTTCTCTTTGTGCATCACTTCATTCTTGTTTTGTTGGTTTTTCTTTGGCAGGAAAGTTCTCAAGGTACAAAACAGCAGTGGAAGAAATCTCTCCGTCAAGGCACATGTATGTGCATAAAATTAAGATTCCTGGGTATCGGAGAGGTCCAACTTTTCTGAAAGCCTCAATCAGATAATTGGATGTTATCAGCACCTGCTGATCATGTTAATTAGCTAGAGATTTAACTTTCTGAGGTGAGATGGCAGGCAATATTTTCTGCTTTGGAGAGCACTGTGTTTCTAAGGTTTTTCAATAGGTGTAAGTAGTGTTTATGCAGGAGATCAAACAACTTGTCTTTAGCTGCCTGTTACTTGGAAGAACACTTGCCGTTAGCTCCAGCTACTTATAGCCTCTATCAGTGTGTTTTACAGTTATTCAAGAATATTTCTGCCTCCTTGGTGTAGCTCAAAGGAAGCCAAGGAAGCTAGAGGTTAAGCCCATCTCAGCCTGTGACTGGGTCTCTACTCTACAGTGTGACTCAACTGTCTGGTTTTTTTCAACCTTAGGTTGGAAATCGGGATGATTCGAACCTCTACATTAATATGAAGCTGAAGGCTGCTGCTGAGGTAATGCCCAAAGTCTTAATATTTCTTTTTACCCTCCTACAGTGTGTCAAATCTGAATATGGATAAACAGATGCAAATCAAATAGTTTTATCTAAGTTTTGCCTGGTTTGGACAACCAAATGTTGGCCTGAATTCCTTGTTATAAGGGGACAGTATAGGTGTGTAACCTGTCACTTAGCCAAGTGGAGTACTCCGGTACCGACAGCATGGGTTGGTGCCGCTTTTTGTGTGATCATCTCCTAGATTACATGTGTCTGAAGTGCTGAAGGTCTGTCTTTCCTGACCTGTGGCCATGCACTTATCTTCCCTGGATGTCTTGTACCTGCAGCTGCCTTGCAGCTGTCACTGAGTGGTACATTACATGCTACAGCAGGGCTGGAAATGTAGATGAGTCCCTGTTTCCCTAGGTGATGGCTGGCATTTCAAGGCAGTATGCTGTCAAGGTGCCTTTTGTTCATGTCAGAAGGTGACTAGAGCAGTTGAAGTATGGACCAATCTAAGTAGGCAAAGCATTAATCTTTTTCCTGCCCTTGCGTTGATGGTATTTCCCAATAATAGGACTGTAACCACAGGAACAAGAAATAGACCTGGGAAATGTGACAGAATGTAGCTGTGACTGGGCTGGACTGAAAGACTAGCCAGATCAATCTCTGATGTCAATTCAGAAATCAGATAATTTGTTGGTATTGTCATTTGCAGATTGGAATCAGTGCCAATCACATAAAACTGCCAAACACAGCAACAGAAGCTGAGGTGAGTAATATAGCCAGGAATGAAAATGTACTTAACTTTGGTTTTGAGCTCAAGAGATGAATTTATATTTGCCCTCTCTTTTTATAAAAAAAGACTACTTGCCCATAGTTATTAACTCCTGAAAAAAAGAACTGGAACCTGATGCGGTGTGGGGTTTTTTATTTTTAAAAGAAAACTAAAACACTGCAATGTAAAATTTACGTACTTTAACAGGTATATTTCTAAAAATAAAAAATATGAGTCATTTATACTCTTGGATGGAAAAACTAAACGTATTGTGTGTATCTTTTAATCCAGACAGGATTATGCTTTTTCCTTTGCTTCAGTCTTGTTTCAGTTTGTCGCCCATTAGGTTTTTGGTCTTTACTTGTAGGTCCTCAAGTGCATTGCCTCTTTGAATGGAGACCCTGCTGTTCATGGCTTTATAGTGCAGCTGCCACTTGACTCTGATAAACCCATCAATACAGAAAAAATAACCAATGCTGTTGCACCTGAGAAGGATGTAGATGGGTAAACTGACTTCACCCCTGGAGAGCACGACAGCTCCTCCAGAAAGAAATTTGTTATTTTTTTCTTTTGGATGGTGATCGTGAAGTTGGGAATCTTACTTGGCCTTTATTCTTTCAAAATACAGCTTAAGTAGCATCAATGCTGGGAAACTCTCTAGAGGGGACCTTGGAGACTGCTTTATTCCCTGTACACCGAAAGGATGCATGGAACTTATCAGGCAGACAGGTAAGTGAGTGCAGTAGTCTTCAATAAGAGGAGAAATTATGCACATTGCAAGGCTGTGCTTCACATTGAAACCTTTCTTGAGATACTGCATTTCATCTCTGCCTTTTCAGATAGTAAAAGAACTGGTTTTAAAATGGTCATTCCTTCCTCCCTCCCAACTCCTATTCTCTATGACACGCAACCCAGAAGAAAAATAGTATCCTGAAGTAACAGAGCCAGACTTAAACTGACCAAAAGACTCCAAAGCTGTTTAAGTGAGTTTGTACTACAGTGCACAATGACCTATTTTTACTTTCTCCTAACTTCCTGTGGTGCAGGCATCCAGGTTGCAGGGAAAAGAGCTGTAGTGGTCGGTCGCAGCAAGATCGTCGGTGCTCCCATGCATGACCTCCTGCTCTGGAATCACGCAACGGTAACCACTTGCCATTCAAAGACCTCAACGCTGGCTGAGGAGGTAAGGACAGGCTGGATGCATGAGGCTGTAGTTATCTGCTGCAAGCCAGTGGCGCCT